TGTTCAGCACAACCCAGAAAGAATACTATAACACGCGCGTAACCAATTACCATCGTAATCCGGTCAAACGGACAATGTCAATAATCACAATATATATAAGTTAACGTAAATTCGTTCAAATAGCAGTAGAACTAAAAGAACACAGTTTTCCGAACATGAATTTTGACTGTCAGATGTACATAGATACTAAATCTTTGATTCGTTGTACGTACACTACAAATAAAAAAGCGAGTGACATCTATCTCACAAAAAGTTCATTTAAATTTATATTATAGTTTGGGCTTACGATAAAACTAAAACAGTCGGAGTAAATCCAACCATAAAATAGTAACTAATAAATATATAGTTTTAATAAGTCAACCCCGTATCGGTCACCGGAGTTATACGTAATTATTTCCAAGACAATATATTATAACAAATATCAATGATAATAAAATATTATAAGATCTACTTGCTGTTCAGATACAATTCTTCAATTTTTATTGTTTAAATATTTTTTTATAAAACATTGAACCAAAAAAAATGAGAATTTTATACGATTTAATAATTGGATCTTGGTGATTACATTTCTTTCGTAAACATTATATTTCCAAACATTTAACAAAATAAAAAAGTGCATAGGTCATATGTTAAGACCAAAATTAATCTTTTTAGTTGAATTGTACCGTATATAAATATACTTATAGTACTTCAGAAAATATATACTCAAATAGCTTGAATAACCGCCAAAGACTTCAGTAACCCTAACAAACTACAATCAATCTCCCTCAGAAATATTACATCCGCCTCGCGCTGTATTCCAAATAAAATACTTTATAAAGATTCCCAAGTCTCTAACATTAAATATTTGGCTCGAATTCATTATAATTAATTCTACCAAAAATCCCAACATTTTCAAACCTCTTTCATTATTTACTGATTCATCAACTTTTCTTTGGATCGATATTTCAGTAAATTACATCCAAACACTAACACGCAAAAGAAATTATGATCACCAACTAAAAATCGTGTAAAAAAAATTTCCTTTAGACAAATGACAAATCCAATTAGTACACAATAACCAAAATCAAAATGAACACTCTTCGTTAGTAATCATGATAAAAGAAAAATCATTCCAGCGTGCCATTAATCTAATTTCAAACAAATTAAATTAATTAGTAAAGTTGTTACAACGTAATAAATAATGTACACATTATGCTCGTATTATTCAAAAAAACACGTTGGTATACATTATTAATATTGATTCATCGATTTGAAAATGTAGACTTGTTTTCAAGATCAATTTTTGGCAAATTTCCCTGATCAGCTTACTACATTGTAATACTTATAATAATGAAACACTATTGGGCGAGCCCTATTTTAAAACATTAAGTTATACATTTGTACATGACAATATTCCACGATTTAAAATAATACTACCACATGGTACTTACGATGAATTAAAAGTGTTGAAAAAAAAAAAACCCTCGTTCAAGAAGGAACCTTCAATCCTCCCGAATCACACCCTTGCTACCATGATTTATTATGTACAATTTCTCGATCCATAAATTATGAACTTAACTGTTATTAAGTCATGATTTGCGTTGTAGAATGCGTGACCACTACGCGATGGTCGATGTGACACATAGCCGCCAAAAATTAAGTACCGGGAAATTTCACAAGAACTTTAAGGTACAATAGGAATACCCAACTTCGGACACTTGGCGCCAGGAAATTTGGCTAGTGGACAATATTTTACCTAGTTAAACGCGAACGAAACTCGTACTAAATATCAGAATGCGTTGGGACATAAGTGGAAATTGTTTTAAGGAAACATCTGCTCTTCAATGGTTGATCTGATTTGTACGTAGTGCATGTGCAGTTGTTGTTTATGTGTTTTATATTACGTACAATGAATGTTACCGTAGTTATTAAGAGATTTACGATGTGATTTGCATAAGTTCAATATCAAAAGAAAGAATGGAGAAAACGCCGATGAACTAGGGATTACGACTGTATTGTCGATAAACACATGAAATATAACAATAATTACTATTTATTTGTTTTCTGTTTTCGATTCGAAATGTCATGTGTTTTATCGACCGAAAATATTACGGGGGGGGGGAAGATTTTCCTAAAATATTTATACCCTTCCCCCTTCCCCCCGGTACAATATTCCTAGGACTTAACTACGTTCTCAAAACATAGCACATATACAATGATTTTTTTAAGCGATCTGTTTTTTAATATAAAGACAATGGTCTAGATACAAACGTTATTTTATTAATAAAATTTGTTTTTTCTCCTTCCTGTCATCTACTTAAAATCATTTTTATTAACAGATTATATGCAATTTTAGATTTCAGTACCACAATTTTGCTAATTTCTATAATTTATGATTTTCCGGTAACTGGCGTAATAACATGTAAAAAAATTCGCTGTATTCGATAACGCCTTACAAATAATTTCCAAAAATACTATGATTTCAGTGAAATTGATAAACATCTGGCTGTCACAGTACTATTATTAATCTAAGGAAATCGATGATCAATAATTTGATACTAGACATTTATAACACATTTATACACGATAATATACTGATCAAAGGTTCGTATTTATTGGCCCGACCGAATCGGCAAAATCATTGTATGCGTTGCGACTATTGTGACAATATACAATCTATATTTAATTTTTTGCCGTCTATATTCTGCTTCGGTGGAAGACATAAGCGCGAAAATCGTATCATACATAAGCGCCAAAATAAGGTAACCAAAAATGAAGTCGTATCGTACAAAAGCACCCAAAATCCAAGGTACGCACGTAATACGTACGTGTAATAAATATAGTGCAAATGTATAAAAGTACAAATATATGAAAAAAGTGGTATTAAAAAATCAACCAATTTATAAAATTTATATTTATTTGCATGTATAATGTATATCATAATTTATTATTGATATTATTTTTTTTTTATAAAATCGTAATTTTTAAATTACTACTTACATAAAACATAAATTTCATGATATGTAATATCACAAATAATATGTAATATCTGCCCTCTAGATTTTAATTTTCTGAAAATTGGCCTGATAGTAACTTTGAATTATCCACCCCTGAACTAAAGCATAGTTATTATTATCATGCTTATCAACATTGTTTGATAAGTACCAACATTTATACATTTATATAAAATTACCTCATATGGCTATTGTATATTGTCACAATAGTCGCAACGCATACAGTGATCTAGCCGACCCGGTCAGACCAATAAATACGAACCTTTGATTAGTATATTATCGTGTATAAATGTGTTATAAATTTCTGGTATCTAATTATTGATCATCGATTTCCTTAGATTGGAATTAGTACTGTGATAGCCAGATATTTATCGATTTCACTGAAATCATAGTATTTTTGGAAATTATTTGTAAGGCATTATCGACTACAGCGAACATTTTTACATGTTTATTACGTCAGTTACCGGAAAATCATAAAATATAGAAAATTAGCAAAATTATAGTCCTGAAATCTAAAATTGCATATAATCTGTTAATAAAAATGATTTTAAGTAGATGACAGGAAGGAGAAAAAACAATTTTTATTAATAAAATCGTAGTCGGTAAATTGCGTCCCCCAAAAAAGGTCATAGTTATATACTACGTAAATTGTATTCCGAGTTTGTTTAAAATGTACGTAAATTGCAGCTTGAGATATTCCGATTTCCGGTCGACTGTTCAATTTAAAGATAAGTATTAATCTCTGATTGATCGATGCAGATAATAATAATATGTTCACTAATATAATATATTACTAGCAGCTTATGTGCATTTGATCGAAGACCTTACGCTTGAGATTTACGTTGCTCTACAGTCTAAATACAGCATAGGCGGATATAGGCTTAGCCCTCCCAAATATTTTAATAGTCCTTCCAAAATTGAAACTTTGTTAGAAATGTTACTCGTTGTTTTTTTAATTATCTGTTCGTTTTTTCGAAAATCGTAAAATAAAAAAGAATTAAAAAACTATTTACAATAACATTAATAATACCAATTAGTTCTACTACTTGCAAAAGAAGTTTCAGTGCAATGAAAAAAATAAAAACTTGGCTAAGGACATCGTTTGTTCAAGATAGATTCAGTGATCTTTCAATACTATATATTGAAAAATATAAAAAGCGATGATATTTTGAATATCTTGCTGATATAAATAAATATTTTTCATTAAAATAAAATATTAATTATTTTAAATATACGTTATTTAGTGTTTTTTTTAATAAAACATAATAATATACAATATACAATAAAATAAACATATCTATATTTTTAACATTAATAAGTTTTACTTGAGCATGGAAAGGGGGTGTGGAGGCGAAACCCCTGTGGGTTATTTTACATTGAATTATTATAGCCCCCCCAAAAATTCAGCCAAATGTCCGCCTATGATATGCAGTCTATAGTTTACATTTTTTTTTTTTCAATTTAAAATAATAATAATAATAATATATAATAATAAAAATGTACGTTATGAAAAGCGAAAAGAATAAAACGTTGAAAGTAGTTGATGGTTTCAAATTTCGTTTTCACAAAATGCTAAAAAATGATATCCAGCACTGGTGTTACACAGTTAATACGTGTAAGTATTTTTTGAAATTTAATGATAATAATATTTGTAGAACGTAGGAATATTGTACCGGGAGAGTAAAAATATCCTAGGAAAATCATATCCCCTCGAGGTACAATATTCCTAGTAAATTCTTACCGGGAGGTAATATTATCCTAGAATATTCTTACCGAGGGATAAACCTTTCCTAGGATAATCGTACCCACTGAAGGGGGTATTATTATCCTAGGATAATCTTACTGGGGGTAAAGATAACCTAAGATAATTTTACAGGAGATGAAATATGCCTAGGAAAATCGTACCCCTCATCCCCCCCGGTAATATTTTCCGGGGATATGATTTGACTGGAACACCGAAACTACCACCGAACCGTCGTTCTATATCCCTACGCTGACACTGACCTTTTATGAAGTCTATGGCCATCTCCAAGCCATACGTATCCTTGTCGCAGTCATCCAGTATGAGAGCCCCGATCTTGAACTTAGTCCACCGCTTGTTGATCTGGTCCAGCGTGTAGAGCATCGTCTCTACCGTCTGTATACCACCCTGGGCCATTATCGGACCGCACGTGAACTGCGTGTCCTCACGCGAATGCACCATCATCAGCCCGCCCAGCAGCAGGTCACCGTCTACCACTGCCTCCTTCTTCAACGGCCACACCAACGGTTCGACGACGGCGGCAGCGTTGGCCGGGGACGAGGAGTGCCGCATGTGACGCATACGCACGTCCGGCGACGGCGTTTGCATGGATGGCACCCGGCGCAACCATCCGGTGTGGTTGGAGAGCGCCGGGATGGGTAGCAGCGCGATCAATATCGTTACGACCAAGGCGACCACGGCAGCCACGGTGGAAGGAGACATCGCGACCCGGCCCATGGCTTCACCGGGAACACGGACCCGGTGCGGTAACGTCGTCCCTGAACTCGACTGGCCGACCGGCGACAAGACCTTCCGTCTCGTCACATCCCCTGTAAATAAATATATACATTCATTTATATGCACACTCATGTTAAACGTTATGTTTTTGCACGGTGTGCACCGCTGACGTGCAAGGACGGATCATAAGGGGAGAGATAAGGACAATAACAGATTTAACCATTGTGCCTCTTTAAGCACAAACAAATTGCCGCCTTTTAATATAAATATTTTTCTAGTCTAAAAAATGTTATTTAAGCATACAATTATAGTTTTCTTTATTGCTTAAAAATTTAGTGATGTAAAATAAAAATATACAGCTATTATAAAAATGCATACATACATTCATATAAAAAAACTTCATTTTAAAAATATAATATAAAATATAATGATAATAAACATGTTAGTAAAAAATACTTAAATAGTTTATTTTTAAATTATATTCAAAATCCAATAGTGCCGAGTATACATCGGTTTTAATAAAATAAAACAATTATTAGTTGCATTTATTTTAGTTCTAGTTAAATATAATACAAATGTAAAATTAAAAGTGATTTGTCGCCCTTCAGAATTTTCTGCCCCAAGCACTAACTTGAAGTGTTTACTAGGAAATACGGGGAATTGGATGTTTCTAGTGTCGGAGTGCGTGACAGCTACTGAAGCGGATTTTTCTGCGATAACGATGTCGTTGCAGTTGATCGATAGTAGTTATACGGTACTGAAAAATTCATTTTTATTTTTGTTTTTTCGTCCATGAAAACTGAACTCGATAGATACATCCGACGAGTAGAAAATTTCTAACGTATTTTAACACATACCCTATGATTTGGGAAATCTACGATTTGGAATATTCGAGACTGGAGTATTATTTACATGTTTGTATTTCATAATGAATGCATTAGACTACGTTAAAATGAACCGATATTGACGGAAACACTTCATAAATCACAAGCTCAGTAGAAATAATATCGATTTGCACCGCATTAATGTTTACGCTACGTAATGCGAAGGAAAATAAATATTTACCAAAAATCCGCGAATTTGTCTGTCTTAGACTTAATAATTTTACACTGAAATAATTCATTGAAATACTATACTTTCGTTTTGATCTCTCGAAGTTTACATAGGCTATAGCTTGTAATATAATTATTGAAACTTCGCGTTTCCATTAATTTCCAAATTGTATCAAGTCGATACTAGGCAAAACATTTTTTTTTTTATGAAATTTATTTAATTTAAAACGATAGAAATAGAAATAGTGGAATTAAAATTGTTCTTTAATAATGTAAAATGCTGTTAAAAAAACTAAACAAAAGGTTTATACAATATAAGCACCATAAAGGAAGCGTTCCTTTGTACAATTTATTTGGAAAGCTTTTTTTATAAAAATGATGGTACTATTATATTATAAATAGGCCATGGCTGTTATACGTGGGTTAAAATGTTTAGGAAAATTGAAGTTCAAATTAAAATAAAAAGATTTAAATATAGATACTTGAAATATGATAATAGATATAAAAGCATGAATAAAAAGTCAGTAGCTTATAATTAATATTCTATAGAAGTCATTTTAAATTAAAAATATTACATAACCACTAATTTTTATAACTTACTCGTATGTGTGAATTGGTATATAATCATCAAAAAAACTTAACACATTTATTTAAGCACTTTTAAAAATAATTTGAATTCACATACATCTATTATAGTCAGGGGCGCCGAGACCTATATTGATGTAGGACGACTGCCTTACATATTGAAATGGGTGGGTTAGTGGGTGCCGAGTGGGTAGTAGCTGATGCCTGATACAATAGTATAAGAATAGTTTAAAATATTATAGGTATAACGATAGTATAGCTATTTTAACAGCTGCATGTCCCCAGCCCCTCCACCTCAGACTTTCGAGTTCAAATTTTTACAGTCGTTTGTGCTTCATTTATGCATGTTTGTGCTATTATTCCCGTTGTTTGTGCTTAACCCGTTTCCGAATTATCTAACTTTTAAAGTGGGGGGCTGGGGACATGCTTAGCCCCCCCATTATCTCGAATTTTCGAGTTCAAATTTTTACAGTCGTTTGTATTTTATTTGTGCTTGTTTGTATTTTTGTTTCCGTTGTTTGTGCTTAACCCGTTTCCGAGATGTTAAACATTGAAGGAGGGAGGGGCCTAAGGACATGCTTAATAAATTCAAAATATATTTAAACAAACTTTTAGTGTATATTATTTTACTAACACATTTTATAAAGTAAATTAAGTATATGTAAGTAACCAATTTTTTATTTATTATTGAACTGTTCGTTTATTCGGCTACTCGTAAACAGTTGTACTTTCGGCATTATACAATATTACAAAATATACGCGTACGACATTTTACGTATGAATCAACGTTGTCTGGTTGCGAGACGCAAAAACAACGACGGATAATAATCGACTGAACTGAACACTAAACAAATAATCTAATATTCTATATCTACTATTATCGACATCCGATTAATATCCAGTGGGTTATATAGTCGAAACGGGGTTATAGTATTATTTATACTAAACAAAAATTATAACGAGATACGATAAGTAGTTTGCAAATAGTATATTATTGGAAGTATTAAGTCCTCTTAATACATTTTTTTTTCGATCGGTTGAAATATGTATCTATAGTTTTTAATTTTAAATTTGAAAAATTTTTCAAAGTATGCAAAATAAGCATAAAATTTTAAAATATGTACTCTCCTGCAAAATCTATCAAACATGTAAAAATATATATATATATAATATATATTTAATATATGCAATATATTACTTTCAAATTTTATATCTGATATCATGGCACCGAGAAACGAATTTATTTTACACTCTGCTATATTTAACAATAATAAAAAAATTATGCAAATATATTTATCTCTAAATAGTCAGACATGTTATAATAATTAAGATCCATAGAAAATAGTAACATAATAGGTACCTATACTGGTGTACAATATACATATACATTATATAGCATACAATTAAAAAAAATACTTGGATTTATATTCAAATACTTTGTGAGTATTCATAAAATACATTTTTATAATAGTATTTTAAAAGTATTTTTAACACTTTTTATTCGAATACTAGTATTAGTATCTTAATACTTTTTCAAAAGTATTGTTTACAAACCGTGTTTAAGGTTAGACACGTAGGTACCCATAAGTTTCAGTACGAATTCGCAGTAGCCTGTCAGATCTAAAATTCCGTGGCCGGATAAAATGGTCGCTTAAACGTCAATCCAAATTTAAAAATGACAAAATAAAAAAGGTTTCATACAATTTTAAAAACGTGTTATGATATTATTATTAAATTTTTTTCAAAATGAAAATTCATCAATAATGATTATATCGCTTCGGGGTTTTGGAGAGAAGAGCTCTTATTGTTTTAAAATACACGTCAAAATGTCGAATATTTAAATTTTTGTACGCAAATTAATTTTAAAAAAAAAATAAAGTGGGTTATTATAAAAAAAATCCCAAATAAATCCGAATTTTCTGTTAAAATTTGATCACAAATCTGCACAAACGTGAAATAAACGAACAGATCAATATGAAATAAAAAATTGGTTAGTGGGGAGGCTAAGTCCTTAGCCCCTCCCTTCTTCAATGTTTAACATCTCGGAAATGGGATAAAGCACAAACGATGAGAATAAAAGCACAAACATGCACAAACGAAATATAAATTACTGTAAAAATTTGAACTCGAAAGTCCGTGGTGGGAGGGCTGGGGACATGCAACTTATTTTAACAACTTATATGTAATGATTTACAATATTCGTAACTCGTATACTTGGGCCGTTGAACTGAATTATTTAGTACTGCGTAAACTTTTGAACGTCATATACAGTTTATAGTTAGTGAATACTGGGTATTTTTCATAAAATATCGAATAAATAGCAACAGAAAATACGTCAACACATGTAATGATGATAGGTACAATAATTGTAACGAAAAATCTAAAATTATCGCGGAATATCGTAATCACATGGAATACCCGTAAAGTGGTAATATGCCAGTTTAATATCAAAATATTTTTAGATTTTATGGATTTATTATAAAAGAATAAAAGTATATATAGTTCGTGTTTGACCACTGACAGTGCATCACGTGTGTTATAACGCTAACGTTTTTATAGCTTCCGATAGCACGTCAAATCGTCAACCTTACCGACGTCCAGTAGGTAATATGATAAGATTATTATTATATAACTTATTCACACCGTAATAGTCAAGCCATGAATAACTCCAAGGGCAACAACATGCCTAAAATGTTGAATCTTAATAAATCCAATCGTTCAAAACATAAGGCCCGTTTCACATGGATCATTTTACGTGTCGCCACAGAAAAGACACAGTGGCGCCACACGAACGATACAGTTTTCACACGATAACCACACGGTAGTTACAAATTTATTAACTATTTTATTTATGTGTGGTGCCAAAAATTTCCTGAGTTTTGAAAAAAAAAAATGTATGTTTTTACCAATCAATAATATTATAGACAGTATAATAAAAACTATAATAACCATTTATGCATGCGGATTTTCAGCACTGTTGCCTATACAGTATATAGCCCAAAGAATGTTCTAGAAATAAAATATTCGTTAAAATAAAATATTAATATTAATATTAATATATATTAAAATATATAATAATAAAATATTCATTTGGAGGAATACATAGCCTCATGTTAGTGTCCATGGCTGATATATGTGGCGTCAACAAAGTTAACAACTCGTCGAAAGAATTAGGCGACATTCGAAAATAGTTAAAAAAAATTTCAGGATCACATTTTAAATCATTAAATAAAATATAAAACTGACCATTAGTTAATCTTGACATATTTAAAGGATGAATCCAATATCGACGATATTTTCTTCTGCGTTCGCGAAGCACACGCAAAACTCGAACAACAAAATATGCGTATACGTTTTCATCCATCGTGATAATAACACCAGATTTACACTACTGCGTAAATAGTGACGAACTATCACTGTGCATACCACCAGCCATCCTTTTTATGCTCTGGAGA